AAAAGGAGTGAGTTGGTATGTCGGCACCAGTCAAAAGGGTGTTAACAGCACTAAATAATTTGTCTCTGAGCAATGCAGGAGATGTAGGGTCTCTCATGACTTTAAGGCAAAAGGTGGTGTTGACTTGCATTATTCTCTCTAGTATGGTTGGAAGCTTCAGTTCTTCCCGCATGTTGATGATTCTTGTGCATCTTGGAGCACCAAGAATTATCCTCATGGCCTCATTCTGTACTACTTCAAGTTTGTCCAACACAGAGGAGGGGAAATTAATTAAGTGCAGAGCATTATAATCAACGAGAGATCTAACGAACATCATATAGAATAGTCTAGCATATTTAATATTGATACCAATATTCTTACCAGTAAGTGTTTTCAATGGTTTTAGTCTTTCTTTTAACCTACGGTGTAGATCATTTACAATGTCACTGTTAATGCCAACTCCAAGGTATTTGTGCTGCCTACACGTTTCAATGTTCTGGTTGTTGACCTTGAAAGTTATAGGGACATGAGTTTTCTCTAGGGGTTGAAGAACTCTGGGTTTAGTTATAGAGATAACAAGACCACATTAAATGCTTTTAGCAGCGAATGAATCAAGAAGAACTTGCAGTCTAGTTTGGGAATTTGCAACAATGCATATGTCATCGGCATAACAAATGACGGCTTCGTCAGGTAGTGTGGGAATATCAATTGTTAATTTATGCATCAGAACATTGAACAGCATAGGACTTAGCACTCCACCCTGGGGTGTACCCAACTCAAAGGGTGAACAAAGTTTACTTTTGACCCCCCTTGAAAAGGACTGAGGCGGTTCTGTTACTCAGGTAACCCCTGAGCCATGTCAACAGTCTTCCCTTAACTCCAAAAGAGGCTAGCTGTTCTAGGATTATTTCTCTGTTTACTGTATCAAAAGCAGTTTGGAGATCAATAAATGCCACCTGAGAGTTTGGCTCCTCTCTGATAAAATACTCAGCAAAGCAAGTTTGTGTGCTTTTTCCAGGAAGGAAACCATACAGGTTAGGGGCAAGGTGGGGCTTGATTTGAAACATTAGTCTGTCGAGAATAATTCTCTCAAGAACTTTACACATGCACGACGTCAGAGAAATGGGTCTAAATTTTTGTGAATTAGGCATGGGTATGGGTATTATGAGTCCCTGTGTCCAGCGGTCAGTGCCAAAGAACCAAGGACCGCATCAAACCCCCCTCGGTTCAGGTAATGAACCACCGGGGAGAGCAGTCTGAATGGAGCCGGATCGTTGATCCGCGAGTGACCCGAATCCTCCAAAGAGCAAGTCACACCGCTGCGAACTCCCTCACCGTGCTGTGGGCCCAACGGAAGGACGAATCCCACCACCCCTGGCCGGCCTGGTGAGCACTGGTCATAAAGCACCAGACGAGAGACGACGCATCCATGAACACATCGAGCGAGGGCTCGGGCAAGCGCCGAGGCAATGAACCCTGAAAAATCCGAAGAGGAAGCTGGCGGCACAGCAGCCAACACAAGGCCCCCGGGGGTCGAACCAAGTGATTGTGAGAGAGGCGGAAGAGACGTCCCCGAAGTAACCAGAACAGCCGACGAAGCCAAACCCAACCCGGCGGGTAGACCATCATCGGAAAGTTCAGCCTCCTGCACAGACCCTCGAGCAACTGCCTGATGACCCGGGAGCCCCCCAGAAACAGGCATATGCAGAACCGCAGCTGAAGGAGAGACTCCGGAGGAAGAGACAAGGAAGCGGTCCGAGAGTCCCACACAAGACCCAGCCAGGTCCGAACCTGGGAGGGAACCAGATGGGACTTCCTCCAGTTCACCAAGAACCTTAACCCGGCGAGCTGGGAAAGAACCAAGTCCCTGGCTAGCAGACAGGCGTACTGGCTGGGAGCCCAGACCAGCCAGTCGTCGAGGTAGGGCAATACCAGAACACCTAATAGACGCAGATGGGACAACACGACCCGGGTAAAGTGTGTGAACACGTGAGGTGCCAGGTTCAACCCAAATGGCACACAACAAAAGCGGTAAGACTGTCGCCCCACAACAAAACCAAGCCAGTCCCTGAAGCCCGGTTGAATCGGGACATGCCAATAAGCGTCCCTGAGGTCCATGGACACCATCCAAGCGCCCGGCTCTGGGACAGCGTGGTCATCCGAAAGGAGGGGCAATGGACCCAGGGGTTCAGATGGGACAAGTCCACAATGAACCGCAGGTCTGCACAGTCCCATTTTGGGACTGGGAACAGATGGGAAACCCATCTGAGAGATGTCATTGTTTTGACCACGCCCAAGTGAACCCACTCCAAGATAACCTGACAGAGCACAGGGGAGGAGGCTTTCCCTGCTAGCCCCAAACCTCCCGAAGGAGGAAGGGCAACCCAACGCCACCGCAGGCTGACCGAAACGACCTGAAACGCCCACAAATCATGGGACCAGGCGTGAGCGAACAGCGCAAGCCTCCCCCCCATCACCCCATCAATGGAGCAAACTGCGTAAGGGCCGATGCCCCGAACGAGAACCCGAGCGTCGCACAGAGCGAACACTGCGCTGACCAGACGAAGGCGGGTCCGAAGGCTGGCCTGGCCCCGAAACTGGCACCAGCGGCCTACCCCAACGAAAGGAACCTCGAGCCCTGGCACAACCCCTCCAGGAAGGCCCCCCCCCGGGGCCCCCGGAAAACCAACAAGTTGGACATAGGACGACAACTAGCCAAGGCAGCCTGGAAATACTGTGCCACTGCAGTGTCAGCAAACAGCAGGGGGCAAAAAGCTGAAGACATCCTAAGAGCCAGGGCCCAGGCAGATTCCAGAAAGGAGGCAAGCACCGCCTGCCTACACACGAGTCGGGAAGCATACAACAGCGAAACCGCATCCCGCAGGATCGGCGCAAACTGCTTCAACAAGGCAGACGACGAGCGATCCGCCGAGCTCAAGGCACCGGACCCATGAACGGCCCCCAGCGTCCTCGCATCCTCTTCAGGCCAGTCTGAAGACAGCTCCAGGAGGGAAAAGAAACACAGAGCCGAAGCCAAGAGGACACGAGCGCGCAAGTCCTCAACAACTGCGCAGCCGAAAGGGACGGAACCTGCACAACGCCAACTTCCCGAGGAAGGGCAGGGGCAAACAAGCACTCAATGAGGTGCTCAAACTCGCCCACCAGAAAAACCTGTACGACCGTCGAAGCCACGTGCCACTCAAGCGTACGGGAGCAACAGAAGATATGCCAAGCCTCCAAGGCAAACACAGGACAGACCACTGGCCAGGACGACTCTGGAACCTCGTAACGGACCCAGTAGGGGAACGAAGACCCAAACCTGAACGAAGTCGGATCCATAACAGAGGCATACTCCGGGTCATGCAGGAGGTAAGCTGCAAGGGCTGCCCACACCACTGGAGGTTGTATGCTGGAAGCCGAAAACAGAACCGACGCACCCCAGGGGGGGACATGGAACCGAACCCGGGGAGGGGCAGACACCAAGTCCAACTCATACGCATTGGGGGAAAAGAAAACCCCATTCCTTGTAACAGTAAGCCCCGCTCAAGAGGGCAGAAAAACCCAGGCGTGGTCCAGTGGGACCCAACGCCCCCAAGTCTGCCCCTCCCCCACCCCAGGATCCTCCTCCACAGGACCCGGGACAGGTACCAAAGGACCGTACTCAGGACAGGAACAAAAGGGACAACAATCAAGGCAGACCCTCTCCCCACCAGGCAACACAAGAAAAATAAAAATAAAACCCCGCAAGAGGACAGTGTACCCTAAAGGAATAGAGCCGGCCGCTATGAATGGTGAAAACAAGCTGCGCAGTACTCTGCGCCCCGTACCAGTGCAAACTGCCTCTTACCCTAAGAGTGTCTAATGTCAGCCCAATACATGTTCCTTGTTGTGCCTAAGGTAAACAAGGGAGACAAAACACCTAAGCACCCAAAAGGCGGTCGAAAAACCGAGCAGCAAAATGGCCTAGCAGAGGCAGGATCCATGGAACATGTGGAAGGTGGCCCAAAGGGCAGTACTTACACCTAGGGAAGGGAACCCTAGGCGCATGCAGCCCGAGTTCTGGCTCGTGGTCCCCAGTAGGCCTACAGAACTCCATACACATGACTGATGCCAAAGCTTGACATTAGCATATCAGCTGAAAACTCCCTGGATAGCTCCAGGGAGCCATAGGGGCTCCCCCCAGAAAATAGTTCAAATGATGCTCAATTCAAAAGTAAAACCAAAAAGTACCTAATTTCATCCTCTAGTTTCCTACCTTGTGCTTCAAACTCACACTGTATATTGTACTACCCACTTCCCCAATATTAGTACTTAAGACTAATTAAGTACTCAATCTTTACCAGTGTAATCACCTCTGTCAATTTATATTGTTGATATAAAACCTTGCTACTATGTACAATGCACTAAAGCATGGTTAAAGACTTGCCCAAAATGGTATGCATTTTAGTGGCTTTGCAAGAATGCAAAAATATCACTAATGTAATCTCACCAACCCATTGTACCTTTTTGAAAATAAAATTATTATTATTATTATTATTATTATTATTATTATTATTATTATTTTCTTGTGCCTAACGTTCTTGGTGGGTTTTCTCATGGTTCTGGGTAGATCTATTTCCCAGGCTTCCCTTACATGTAAAGTAAGCCAGATTGTGGTCTTGGCTCTGGAAAGGGCTTTGAGGGCTGGTGTGGTTTCCTAAGCCTTTGCAATACAGTATCAGCACTTAAAACTTTGAAACCTACTAAAGGGAATTTCCCCACAGAAATTAAGATGTAGAGAACTGAGAGGAAGAGTATTTGATAATTCTGGTGCACGCCTCATGAGTCCATATAAGCCATATCCTGTCAGCATCTTATCTACATATAAAAAAAAGTTTGGCTCTTTATTTCCCAAATTAACTACTGTACTGTAATTCCTGATGTTGATAGATATTCTGTTAGTTAGCATATTTTAAGATATTTCTTAAGGTTTTTTATAAGAAAAGATATTTAAGATAAGACATTTCATTATATTAGCATACCTTATAGACATGTTGTAAACTTAAGCTGCCATACTGAGCCATGATGAGTTGATCATTAACTTGTCGTAGCTCTTCCTGTTGTCGTAAAATTTGCTGTTGTAACTCTGCATGTTTTCTTCTTAGTTGATCTTGTAGTTGTCTCTGATCAGGACTTAATATCAAAGACTGCCGAAGACCCTGCCGAATTCAGGGACATATTGCAAATATATTTTACTTTAGTAAAATGGAAAACTTTTGAAATCTTCCCTTATTTTCACCCTTAGATAAATGGCAAGAAGCTTAATCTAATGTTATTGCATCATCATTATTACCCAGTTTTCCACTCTCATGAGGTGGGGGAAGGCATCAACACTAGAAGATGGAGAAGCAGCATAGGAAAATATCAGGCACTGAATGTACTGAAATGTTTCTGGTGGGCCATCACTAGCTTCCCCAAGCTAAGTGTTGGTCCAGTCAAGCTTGGGAAGATTCACTAGACCTCTCAGACCCACCCTTGCCTACTTCCGTACTAGCTGGTGATGCCAGAATGCTATCAGCTACTGATACTACACTATTACTAAATTCAATAGTTTCTTTTCATCCATTGGTACTTCCCTTGCAAATGAGCTCTGAGCATCCCAAACCAATGTAAATGACTACTTCTCTAGCAGCCTTCCCGTGTCTTTGTACCTATCATGAACAAATTCCTCACATGTTAATAAGACAATCTTTTCACTTAAAATAAAATCAAATAACTTTTCTGAGATACCAACCCTACCTTATAAAGAAGCTTAAACATTTTTAGCTCCAGACTGGCAAATGCTTTTTAAGATAAAAAAAATGCAAGACCTTGCACGTGGAGCATAACAATGCACATCACAACTACCGAATCAACAACATTAACTTGCAGCAGATTGATGAAGAAAAGAACCTTGGAGTCAGAATCCACCAATCACTGAAAGTTGCATAACAAGTGGGAGCTGCAGTAAAAACAAAACAAAGCCAGTCAAATCTAAGGAATAGTTAAACAAAACTTTGACTTCAACAATAAAAAACAGCATTGAATGTAATGAAATGGCATTTTCTGGGTGAGCCCCCGAGGTTCCCTGGAGCTATCAGACTGATATAAGCTTTATTAGTCTGGGGCTTCAGTCACAGGGAGTTCTGTCTACTGGGAACAACAAACTAAAACCTGGCTCCTCAGAGAGGTGCAGGGAACAATTGCCTATGAAAACTCCACTCTTTGAGAGTATATTCATGTATTCCATTGACAAAGGTTAAGCACCCAGAAAAGTACGCACCCCAAAGCAGACCCCACATGGCAGAAAATTGCAACCCAAGACCGAACAGAGACCAAGAACTCTCCCCCCCCCCAAGAAAAACAAGGCGACAAGACAACAAGGCGGCAAACAAAACAAAAACTGCCGACCGGAGGGAAGAAGGGTGCCAGGAAGCCTCTGGGGCTCACCCAGAAAATTACGTTTCATTACATTCAATGCTGGTTTTCTGTGGGAAGCCTGTCGGCTCCCTGGAGCAAGATACCCAAAGTAAAAGAGGGACTTATCCGGGAGGTGGCAGCGCCGCGTGCCTCATGACGAAGACGAGACAACTGGCTGCAACCGACGGCTGAAGGCCACACAAGACCGCTGAGGGCCCGGAACATTCACGAGATAACGAGCAGCCAGGACCCTGTTCGACCTCCAAAATCCCTGTGCCCGAATGTCAGCCTAATACATGTTCCTAAAGACAGCAGCAAGAGCCGTAAACTTCCGAACATCATGGGCACGAGGGTAGACTGCAGGGCTGGCTAGACTTGATAACCCTGCGAACAGACCCTGAGAGACTTGAGCTATGGAACAGGGAATGAGGGAAATCTGGTCAACTCAAAGCATGTCACCGGACACAGAACAAGAGGTGCTCAGGTAGCAGCAGAGAGCAGCAACTGGACACAAAACATGATGCACCCCTGGCCTGACCCAACCAAGCATCAATAACCCACAAACCCCTCCAGTAGCCCACCGTCTCATTCTTCACCCAGACAAGGAGGAGATGGCTGCAAACAAACAAAACATCCATCAAGACAAAAAGAGCAGAAACCCCTGCACCGGAGGAGAGCATGAAGCTCACCGATCCAACCCCGAGAGACCAAAGGCAAGAGAAACAAAGCCTTCTGAAAACCATCTTGGAGTGAAGGGGCCACAACAAACCGAGGAAAAAGAGAGAAAAAGAGAGCACCTGGTCAAAAGACCAAGACAGCTCAGGCGGCACATAAGCAGGCCAAAAGTGGAAAAATGCACGAGAAAGCTTACAGACCTGAGCTGAAATGACATCCACCCTGAACGCAAGCTGAAGCGGGTCCACCAGCGCTGCACGATAAGAGGCGACAGAATTCGGCATAAGATGTCAGTCCTGAAACAACCAGGAAAGGAAAGACAAAACAACATGAACTGAAACAGAAGGCAATCTACGAAGAGAAAGGAAGTGGTGAAAGGAATGCCAAGAGAATTCATACTGTTGCCTAGAAGACAGCAGGTGGGACACCATGATAGAAGCCACCTGATCACCATGCAATGTGATACACATGTGTCAAAAATACCAGACGCAAAGAGTGGAAGAGTAGATCAAACCAGCGAGGTATCAATCACTGGCCCAATCTGCTGGAAGATCAGAGGACGGAGGGTTGGAAGGAGGAAATGTGGAAACGCTCCAGGTTCAGACACTGAGCAAGCAGTGACTGAAACCAAGGCTGGGCTGTCCACCATGGAGCCATAAGGAGAACCCTTCCCCAATAGGACTTATTAATCTTATTCTTACCTTTTATCCTATTCTTACCTTTCATCTTACTCTCACCTTTCATCTTATTCTTACCTTTCATTTTACTCTCATCTTTCATCTTATTCTTACCCTTCATCCTATTCTTACCTTTCATCCTATTCTTACCTTTCATCTTACCCTTATCTTTCTCTTACTTGCTCCTCACCTTGCATCTCACTTCCACACCTTATATATTTTTCTCTTCCACTCTCTTTCCATTACCCAACTTGATACAGGTAATGGATCAAAACTTTATTGTTTCTTCATTGTATAATGTGTGGTTTGGTCGTCAAGGCTTAAAGCTCAACAAGCCACAGTGTAGACTAGAAAACAGGAGATGCCTTTTCACCCATAGGGCTATAAACCCATGGAACTAACAACCTGCCCAAGCCATAAATGCCCAAAAACTGCTGCAATTCAAACCCCAGCTGGATAAAATCATCAGGACAATGTGACCAATTGTCATGCCACCGACTCTTTACCCTCGTCAATGCCACTAATGAGATGGTAGCCCTCGGGTAGACAAGAGGTATGCAATGTTTTACTTAAATGTACAGGTCTACGGTAAAAACACATGTTTAAATTCCTGCACTAAATAATTGTAATTGATCATAAGTCACAACTTTTAGTAAATTGTTACCTCTGTTGTAGGCACAGCTGGCAGCTGTACTGACAAGTTTGTCACCACTGGGTTGAGGGGAATGACAGGTGAGAAGGGAACGGCAGCAACCTGCACCACTTGGGTTGCTGTGTTGCCCACTGCTGCTGCTCCTCCTCCTCCAGTAACAGTCATAGTGTGTGTCCCACCACCACTACTTCCAATACTTCCAATGTACTGTGGCTCCATTCCAAAACCACCACCTACAAAAATAAGACTTTGATAACATTATTATAAATGGTTATTTTACAGACAATACCATTTAAGCGAATTAACGTTTATGTACTTTATTTTCAATAAAGATATATAATGTTATTAAACATTGGGTTGTAGTCAAAATACAGATTTAATTAGACGGTTTGCTTGAATTTTACAAATTAACAAGCTGATCTATAAGAGAGTGTCTGTTTGCTTGTTTGTCTGTCCAAGGGTGCAGACGAAATGCAACTGTTAAGACACTCAGAATTTTAGGATGAAATTTTAAAATTCAGATTGCTATACACAAATTTTAAATATCAGGAATTTCTTTTTCAGTTTTATTAAGCAATAGAGATTTTATACAAAATTTGAAAATATCCTGAGTTACTTTACAATTTATTGAAATATTTTAGTTTTATTTTATTTGTTTTATAAAACTGTATATAATGTCAATATAGCTATAGGATAAGTAGTAATTGTAATTGAGGAGCAATAAAATGCTCATCTTCAAAAACTAAGACGGTTAGGTAAGCTCGTGGTTTTCTATTCAGCTTTTCAGGTAAACTCAAATATTCACAATATATTTGACAGTGCGGTTTAATACTAAGTGAAAATACGTACAATTCCTGACTGTCATACATAGTACATAATTGCACTTATGGGGCTCTTACATTTACCTCCCCATTTTTGGAGGACGGGCTGGATGCCCACATGTGATGTGGGAGACTGAATGCCCAGTTATTAGACTATTCAGACCCGTTGGCATGAGGTACCTGGAGCTTTGCAATTACTTTATTCACTCTTGTGTTCTTGAAGATACCATCATATTGCACCCAAAATTTGCCAGTGCTGGGTACTGAACATTTGGCCCTGTATGACTAACCATCCTGCGAGATGGGGACTTTTAGTATCACTGCTGCCTTATTCACTCTTGTGTTGATGATATCCTCATAATGCACCAAGAGTTTGCCAGTGCAGACTACTTATCACATGCCCCTGTATGACTAACGATCCTGTGTGATGGGGATTTTTTTAGCACCGCATAGCTAGCTTTTTGACACACTCTACTCTCCTTCATATAGTCTAGGGTAGCTGCACAAATGCAGATGTACCTAATGTATTAATAAAAAAGAAATCAGTATTAAATGGAAATGTCTGTCTGTCCAAGGTTGGAGGCCAGACAGGGAGGAGAGAAAAAGGAGGGGGGGGGGAAGGAAGAAGAGGAAGGAGAGATAGGGAAGGGGGAGAGAAAATGAGGGTAATGGGGGTGAGGGAAAGTGACAGATTATCCTAGGCACTGCTTTGTACCCTTTCTAGTACAGTACAGTATTGATATAAAACAAAGAAAATGCTGAGTTTCAATTCTGCTATCTTGGGTAACAAACTATTGTCTAACCTGAGGTATGTGAACTGGCACTACCCGAAGGAGACATAACCATCATGTGAAGGAACTGGTCCTCTTTCTTCTCTTCTTCGCATGATCCTGAGAGCCGTGAAGATGATATTGACCGTGACAGCTCGGGAGGGAATTCTATCTTGCGGTAGTATCTCTCCTTATTAGCAGATTTTGAACCAAAGTGCAAGTTGCTTTCCTAAGAAAAACAGATCTAAATTAACAAGTAATTTCATTCTTTATTTCACCATAATTACTGAATGCAGAATATTCCTATAACAAATATTTTAAACATAGAAACAGTGCATCCTCACTCTAACGAACCCAGCTCTATCAAATTCCCAGATGATCCGAACACATTGAATTCGGTACTAAATGTTCAGTGGAACATACAAATGTTCGATTAACCCCTTAACTGTGCAGCTTCCAAATATGAAACCCCCTCAGTGCGCAGGAAATAAAATCTCTGGAAAAAATTCTTTTCTATTTTTAAAGTGTCAAAAACCCTTCCCTGAGTAAGGGTATAGTAACAGAAGATCGAAATTGAAAGTACTTTAGCTGCTATGGGATCCTTACTTTCGTGCATGACGTCATCATTTCCTGGTTGCCCGTGGCATATGCTCCCGGGGCCGGTAGGGCACTCGGGACAGGATGCGAGAGTTGCCGCGAATATATTTTTGTTCATTTTCTGCGCACAGTTCCAAATACATTTTATATGCTTTTACGTGCCAGTCCTATGTATAATGAACACGTACACTATATTATGGCAGTAGAACATGAGTACTATCTGAAGACACTGTGTTACGTGCATGACACATGTGTACACATATCCGGCACATATTTCCATTGTATCATGCTAATTTATGTATATATACAGTCTATTTACACACTATACACTATCACACACTATATACATTCACCATGAACACACTCAGAACTCCGCAAGTGTCAGCTGCCACATCCTCACTCCTCCAACCTCCAGTCTCTCCCTCACTCCTCCAACATCTTACTTGCCAACATTGCTCCTCCCACCATGCTGTTATTGTTTGTATTACACTATTTACACATGCTATGTATACCCATCTACATGTTTTATTCACCGAAACTATGCAAGTAAGCTGGTATTGTGCCCAAACTTTACAGTGACCACCATACACTGCATGAGAAATCACACAGCAGTCAGCAGATGACGCTATGATTACGTCACCTCCCTCACCAAAATAGCTCCTCCCAACATACTCCTGTTGCTGTTACTACATTATACACACACATTATATATACCCATGTACAAATGTGTTCACTATAGCGAACCACTAAGCTAGTATGATGAGCAAAACAAGAGTGGCTGCCACACAGTGAGGCTACCTCGATTCTCTCCCTCGCTCCCTCACCACAATTACTCCTCCCACAATACTACGAACAGTGCTTATTATCACCACAATCCTGCTGTTATCACAATACTGGTCACTAAATCCTGTAAATACATAATTGACCACAAGTTTATTTTGTAAAGGAACCTAAGAAGTCGTTTGAAGATTGCTAGATGGATGAAATAATGCTGTGGTGCTGTGGCTAGCACTGTGAACATCGTGAACAGCATTCAATCACTAATATTTGAACATTGTACACAGTCATTATCACACTCAGGCTCTTCTGTAATACTATCATGGCTAAATAATACAAGTTATATATAATATTTTGACATTTTTAGGCGATGCTGTGGTCACAAGTTGAACAGCAGTGCTGTGAGCTCATGCTGCGTGCGCCGGCCTTGGTTGCTCACTCACTACTGAGGCTCTCACCCAGGAATGTGGACCACGATATTTTTTAAAGATGGCATCTGTTTACAAGACCCCTGAGGAAGCTGATGTGAACCCCATGTAGCCGCGGGAGTTTTGAATGGAACGTGAAAAATACAAATACCCGGAGACGCGTAGTGCACCCCAGACGTGGGCTGCAGGCGCATTGCGCAGTTAAAGGGTTAAGTGAGGATTGTTCGTCCAAGCGATCACCGAGACCGAGCTGTCATAGTTGATGACAGCCACTGTCATCAACTATGATTCACCAAAGTGTAAACAGTTGTACAGTATTATATTTTGCTTACCCATTGTTTCAAGTGAGAAATGGTTGAAGGATGATAAAATGGTGTCAGGGGAGGCAGGTTGCATCAATGGTGATGGTTGGAGTCTGGGGGCAAGTGGTGTCAGTAGTTGGGGTTTAGTGTCTGGAGGCAGGTGATGGAAGTTATTCTCACTGGGGGTTGTCAGAAAAGACTGGTGGTGTCAGTGGTGGTAGGTGTTGTTAGGGGAGGCAGGTGGTGTCAGTAGTAGATGATGTTGTCAGGGGGAGGCAGGTGATGTCAGTGGTGGAAGTTGTTGTCAGGGGAGGCAGGTGGTGTCAGTGATGGAAGGTGTTGTTAGGGGAGGCAGGTGGTGTCAGTGGTGGAAGATGTTGTTAGGGAAGGCAGGTGGTGTCAGTGGTGGAAGGTGTTGTCAAGGGAGGCAGGTGGTGTCAGTGGTGGAAGGTGTTGTTAGGGGAGGCAGGTGGTGTCAGTGGTGGAAGGTGTTGTCAGGAGAGGCAGGTGGTGTCAGTGGTGGAAGGTGTTGTCAGGGGAGGCAGGTGGTGTCAGTGGTGGAAGGTGTTGTCAGGGGAGGCAGGTGGTGTCAGTGGTGGAAGGTGTTGTTAGGGGAGGCAGGTGGTGTCAGTGGTGGAAGGTGTTGTCAGGGGAGGCAGGTGGTGTCAGTGGTGGAAGGTGTTGTCAGGGGAGGCAGGTGGTGTCAGTGGTGGAAGGTGTTGTCAAGGGAGGCAGGTGGTGTCAGTGGTGGAAGGTGTTGGCAGGGGAGGCAGGTGGTGTCAGTGGTGGAAGGTGTTGTCAAGGGAGGCAGGTGGTGTCAGTGGTGGAAGGTGTTGTCAAGGGAGGCAGGTGGTATCAGTGGTGGAAGGTGTTGGCAGGGGAGGCAGGTGGTGTCAGTGGTGGAAGGTGTTGGCAGGGGAGGCAGGTGGTGTCAGTGGTGGAAGGTGTTGGCAGGGGAGGCAGGTGGTGTCAGTGGTGGAAGGTGTTGTCAAGGGAGGCAGGTGGTATCAGTGGTGGAAGGTGTTGGCAGGGGAGGCAGGTGGTGTCAGTGGTGGAAGGTGTTGTTAGGGGAGGCAGGTGGTGTCAGTGGTGGAAGGTGTTGGCAGGGGAGGCAGGTGGTGTCAGTGGTGAGCTCTGGTTATCAGCTAATTAGCAACACGTGGCTGGCACCTCGATGCTTCACTCACTGTCTACTTTACACCAAATTAGCTGAGAAAATATTACCATTTCAGTTGTTTGTAACATCGCTCTATCATATTTCATAGTCAAAATGAAGAATTCATAATAAATGGTGGTGTAAGTGGTGAGGGGATATATTAGTGGGGGTTAAGGAGGGAGCTAGCCTCTACGCAGTTAACATTGTGTGTTTACTAGTTGTGTTTACTAGTTGTGTTTTTGCGGGGGTTGAGCTTTGCTCTTTCGGCCCGCCTCTCAACTGTCAATCAACTGTATACTAACTACTTTTTTTTTTTTTTTTTCCACACCACACACACACACACCCCAGGAAGCAGCCCGTGACAGCTGACTAACTCCCAGGTACCTATTTACTGCTAGGTAACAGGGGCACTTAGGGTGAAAGAAACTTTGCCCATTTGTTTCTGCCTCGTGCGGGAATCGAACCCGCGCCACAGAATTACGAGTCCTGCGCGCTATCCACCAGGCTACGAGGCCCCTATAGTGAGGGGCCCCTATGTGTGAGTCTGGCCTGAGGTCTGGCCTGAGGTCTGGCCTGAGGTCTGGCCTGAGGCCTGGCCTAAGGCCTGGCCTGAGGTTTGGCCTGAGACCTGGCCTGAGGCCTGGTCTGAGGTCTGGACTGAGGTCTGGTCTGAGGGCTTATCTGGTCTGGTCTGGTCCAAAGTCTGGCCTGGGGCCTGGTCTGAGGTCTGGTCTGAGGCTTGATCTTGCCCAAGGCTTGCCAGTCTGGCCGCCCCCCCTTCTACTGCCGACATGCTACAACCCCCCCCAGTGGCCGTCCCCTCCCCCCTCCCCCTACCACTGGCGGCCCGCCAACTGCCCCCTCCTCTTGTCAGTTTGCTGAGGAAATTAGGTAATTTCGCTTGATTGGATTTGATAAGCTCATATATGTAGCATTTTTATTCCAAATTGTTTGTAAGAGATTGTTCTATTAGCATTTTCGCTTGGTAACGACGCAGCATTGCGTCATTTTTTTAGTAGACGTAGTCTCGGTAACAATGCAGCATTGCGTCGTTTATTAAAATATTTGCCAAAAATCAGGGTTTTATCCAATTTTTGGGGGGACCGGTTTTAAAATGCGCGCCGTCTTCCCATTTTCATTGTTAGGCCTCGTGGCCCGCAGGCGGTGCGGCACACGCCGTAGGTCCATTGTTTTCACTTAACTATTATGACCGGTGTCGCCTCCCCTCGTGTCTCAAAGGTGTGAACATTTCGGCTATTTTCCGTGGCTATATTTCTTACTGCGGCTTTAGAAACTATCTACGCTTACTCCACGATTGATAGTGATCATGAACAAGGCCCTTCCAGGAAGAAATTTGCGAAAGAAAGGCGTGAAAAAGGGAAGCTAAGTAGTGTGCAGGGGAAGTACAAGCGAGTGAGACTAACTCCCTCTAAGTTTCAGGCTGTATTTGACGATTTGTCAGAGTTATCTAGTGAGGAAATTGATGTTGATACTGACACTGATGAAGGTAGTGAATGTATAGAAACAGAGATGGCTGATGAGGATTTTGGTAATGATGGAAGTGAGGAGTCTGAGGTTGAGACTGCCACTCGTGCACGCCGAGGTACTGGAGCTCGTGCCAGAGCCAGACTTACCACACATACCCCACCACCAACAGATTCTGATGAAGGGTGGTGTAGTGACAATACTGCACCCTTTGTGGACAATTTTACAGGCACACCACGCTTGACTGTTCCTGTACCTACCACTGTTTTGGGTTTTATTCAACTCTTCCTGACTCAAAGCTTGTTGAAATATATTGGCTATGAAACAAATTTGTATGCTTCCCAAAGTAAGGCACGTACTGGGAAAACAACAAACAAGAGATGGGAACCAGTAACAGTGAAAGACATTGCCAGATATTTGGGACTGACGATCTTGATGGGTATTTGCCCGTTGCCAAGATTTAGAATGTATTGGCAAACAGGCA